TTTCTCCTTGAATGTGTCCACCTTGCGAGCGAACTCACCTGTGGCGATGGACGACAGTGCGGCAAGAAGCTTGGCATCGAGGGTAGTAAACCCGTCAGGACTTGCAAGACCTTCAATGGTTTTGACCTTCAACCCACACCTTGTTGATCCACGAGAATGCTTTGTCGGGCTTGGAAGACGCGGCCCTCACCGCATCCCTCACCCTGATTTTCCAATTGCGATAGTTCTCGGGCTGTGGGAAGGAAGGTATCTTGATGTGGTCAGCTTCCTTCGTGGTATTGCTTTTTCCCCCCAAAACCTGTTTGAGCTTCCTCATAAGAGCCTTGTCTGTCAATTCATCGTCATCATCGTCAAAATCATCTCCACCGTCTGGATCACTGTCATCCCCCGGGGGTCCAGGTGGTCCACCCCCCGACTTAGGAATCTTGAGAAGCGGAATGCCTGGACGCCCAGGATTGATTGGATCACCTGATGAACGACCTCCATCAGGATTGTCTCCTCCCCCTCCCCGCGGTCCACCACCACCATTACCTGGCCCGCCCCTACCGAAGTTGCCTGACAATGCATGTGCTGCTATGACCCGTACCCATCATTCCAAGGACTCACCGGTTGGAAAACTGTAGCGTTAGGGGAAAATACGCTTCCGGGTTGAGACTTCAAGGATGGAGTACCGAACAGCTCAGCAGTTCTAAAAGATCTGACATCATCGTGTTGGGACAAACCTGCAGGTGGTGCTTCATGTGTTGGTATGGACTCACGAGGTTCGGCAGCTCCTTCCGGAATGCCCGGCGCATCATCCTTTCGTTGCTTCATTTCACGAAGTTCCTTCAGGAGTTGTGCCTGGACGGATTCCGTCTCAGTTAGCCGCCTCTGCAAATCCATAGATGTTTGTTGTTGCTGTGCCAAGTTCATCTCGAGGGACGAGACTTTCTGACTCTGCCTCATTTCAATTCCAGCGATATGTTGACGGTGGTTCATGGACATTTCCATGAACTGATTCTGAGCCTGCTCTTGCAGTGATTGATATCCAGTTTCGGCTGCGGTGATGAACAGTTTCGCCTGGACCCTCATCTCCTCATTCTCAGAGAACGCTTCGTCAGCTTCGTTTCGGAGCCTCTGTGCTGCGAGCATTAGTTCTGCTCGTTGCCCCTCAAGTTGCTGATTTTGCGAGGCCTGGCGCATCATCTCCGCCAGTATAGCTGGAGGTGTGCTCACAAATGAAAAATTGGCCTGATTGAATACCGGCGCGGTGCTCCCACCCGCTCCCCCTCCGTCCATTGACATGTTGGATCCTCCGTCTGGTGTAGACGAGACGCCTGGATCCATCAACGGGAGATGGAAAGCGGCGGGGTTTCCACCCGCGCTCTCACGCCCATCCGCACCATTGTACGGCGCAGCCAGCCTCGCGAGGGCTGTCTGATCCAGACTTAAGTCCATGGCTGCGAATGACGTAGGAGCAATACTACGGGCCTAAGGCTATACGGCTGATAACCTATGTTTACAGGAAATCAGCCAAGACCGCTCAACTTTTTCCTTGAGCCAAAAGCGAGGGTAAGGAGGTATATTTACAGTGAAGAACAATGCTTACTTAGAAAATACAATTAGCGTCACAAGTTAAGCGACGAGAAAATTAGCGTCACAAGCGAGCGCCTAACCTCTGCCAACCATCAAGTGCTGAAGGGATAGGACAAACCTTAATATCAAGTCGAGGAACATCCCAGCTCAACGGTGCCTACAGATATACAGCTACATTACACATATATATATATTATATTATTACAGTATACATGCTTATTTCATCATTACATTATTGCACTCAAGCTTAACTTGATGTGTTCTTCAGCAAGCCACCAAGGAGAATCGAGGACATCTTCACCAACAGTTTATCGACTTCACATTCTGAGGACAGAGTGTACTATCAAGTCATATCGAGCCGGTTGGTCAGTTACCAAGTCCGGCATATGCGTATGATGGTGTATGCATACTTGATCTTAGTCATGTGGTGCTGGTGGGCATCTTAGTCATGCGGTGCTGGTGGGCCACTTGTACACGTCAATGTCAACACTTGTCAATGCAAGGAGAAATGCGCAATGCCAATCTTTCTTACTCCTCAGGCAAGTTCATCGTCCAGCGCTTTGGCAGTGCGAAGTGCCACGATTTCCATTCTCTGCTTCTCTTGCCTCTTGGCAAAGCTTTCCTTTGCCAAGCCACAAATCTTCTCCAATGGATTGGGGCGGGCGTGGTGCAAAGGTTCCTCTAACTTCCTCAGGTCAGCCTGCAGTTTCTTCAAGCCTTGCTGATCTACATCTTCTGCTTGTTGTTGTCGGGTAGTAGCGGCTCCAAGCGCATCCTAAGAAAACTGCAAAAACAATAACGACATCAACAGGCACCACACTGTCACTCGCGACTGCAAACACGACTCGGTCTGTGCCAATTCAGCTCAGCGTCCTCAAGCTTTTCTCGCGACTCGCGCATGGTTGTCACCAAACTTGTCAAGATGCTGTGCAGTTCCTGGAGCATTCTTCAGCTTTTGCACCCAAGCCAAACAACATTCGTATACCAAATATGTGTAAGAACATTTCAGAACAAGCAAACTTGCATAGGGTCATATAAAGTAGTCGAAAGCCTCCCAGGCTGCTCCTCAGCAGTGGTGTGGGCGCTTTTGGTGGATTCCAGCTGGATCAGCTGCTGTTCCAACCCATGAAGCCTTGCTTTTGGACACCATATCTGGCAGTACCAAGCACGCAAAGGTATTACAATCAACTCACGCCTACACTGTGAAACGGTTGAATCCGGAATTCCATATGTTGGGCTGTGCTTCAGATTGAATTCCCTCAACCATCACCCAAACAGCCCTATATTTTGTTCACAAGCGGTAAGTGTTTTCACATGAATGCAGGGATGCAGCCAAAGCTGCCTTGTTTCTTCGTGTTCAAAGCTGCGCTCCAGCAGTTGCTGAAGAGTTGTGAACCGCTGAGATGTATTGGTGAAAGCCTGGGCTTCAAGCAGAACTATTCTTGATTCTTGCCAAATAAGCCTGGAGACCTGGGGTTGATGGGGCCCTAGGCCCTAGTGCAATATTGATGTACTTTGTGTTGCAATGTCAGTTCGTGCCCTCGCCACAAACGCCGCCGACATGTGCCATGCAACTGACACAAGGTGTTCTCGCGCACTCACCTCATGACGAAGTGCTTGTCCTTCAAGTCGGGCCTTCAGCTAAAAGCACTTGCGTGCAACACGTGTCTACCATACGTCTATCTTTGCGGCATAATTTGGGAAAAACATGGAAAAACTGCAAGCGTTCGTACATGTTCAAGCAACAAGCTTCTTCAGGACCTTGACTCAAGCTTGACTCCTATTGCCGACATTGACTACAAACACGCAGCGGTTGATGGGCGGTGCCTTGGTTTCGGCGTAGTGTTTCTGCAGCTCAGCTGTCACATCGGCCTCCAGGTCATTGCTCCTTAGAAACTTCCTCCCGCTGGGATCAACTTTGTTTCATCATCACTCATTTCCTAGCCTTTTGGGAACAAAGTAAGCAAAACTGTTCACTGACACGGTTCTGCCCTCATGATTGCCAGTCATGAAGAAGCAATTCGACCTCAAAATGGCACATAGCTTCCATGTTCACGCCAAGCAGCTGATGGAGGACAAGGGAATTGCAAAACTGCAGGGATCTATCTTCTTCCGGCTCTGTCTGCAACAAAATATCAAAGTCCTTTCTTTACAAGCAGAATGCTCGGATTACACATGCATGATCAAAACAAAGCTTCTTTGCCCAAGCCCATCACAAGTTGCTTGCAACAACCCTCCTGCTTCTGAAGCTGAGAGCGTGAAAGCTCAAACAACGTGCTACTGTTGGTGAACTCTGCAAACTTTCCAAGGAGTAGCGCAACCTGCCGCTGCAGCTTGATGCACAAACAAAAACACAAAAGATCACAAAAGCAAATCTGCAAACGGATGCCAACACATGCTTCTGAAACACCAGCGGGGTCTGGGGAGAAGTCTCCGTTTTGCCAGCATTTGCAGTAGCAGTCTCAAAAGTGTCTTCAACTTCTTGAAATCCGCATATAAATGTCCATTGTCAATGAGCATACGCACATACCTCCGACTGAGCTCGAGGAGCAGCAAAAGGAGGAATACCAGTAAGATCCTGTGCAGCAACTCCAAACACATTATCATCCAACATGATATGTTGAAAGTTCCAACAATTGTCAAATATTGATATGGAGCTTTTGGCTGTTGATAGCTTTCGAATATGTATCTGCTGTTTTGCTGCTGACTCTTACCATGTACCCTTCTGTACTACACTCCATTGCAAGCGCTTTCAGGATAGGTGTTCGCCCACAACTCGCCAATTCCCAGGAGCGACCCTTTGTTTTGTGGAAGTCCGTAGCATTCGGAGAAGGTGCATCTACATGCAGGTGATGACCCAACCAATTCATCCCAGTCTCACACTCAGCTTGCAGCTTGGATTTTCTAGGCTACTGAAATCTACTGAACAACAGGAGTCATGTTGAGCTGACACCTACCACAACTACCACCTTCCTGAGGAATACATTCTATAATACATAAATCATATATCCGAGCATATCCGAGTATACCATATACACTCATGTCTTACATTCCACGTGCCAAAGAAGGCCCTGCACCTCTCAATATCTGCAGCTGATTGGCGCCAAGCTGGAAAAAGGCCAATGGATCTCTGCCGCCAAGATCGTCCATGCTGTCGCCCAAATCTTTGTCATGCAGTTGCAGAAAAGACCTAGAAGATTTCCTTGGAGACAGGCGAACGTGAGCTGAGCCAAGCTTCAAAACAAACTCGGTCAGCACTCAAATATTGAAACTAACATCCACCCAAACACTTCTTTCCACCACCCTTGTCTGCATCATCCTCTTCATCAAATGCCCTCTCTGCTGCGAGCAAATCCTCTTTTGCCTTCCCAGCAGGCTGAGATGGGCCCGAATCGGGTTGCCTCAGTTTCTGTCTTCGATTCAAGCTTTGATAACAAATAATTGATTGAACTGTCTCAAAAGAAAGTTTAACCGAGGACTAAGCCCGGGACCACGCGGTATAAGTCTTGGGTGTCTGCATGAGCTCCATAATGGAAGAAGATTCTTCACCTCTTGCTGGCTTTTTCCTGCTTTCAACGCGCTTCTGAGCCAAAAGCGCTTGCCAACCGCCCCGCAATGCAGCAGGAAAGTCTTTCGGAGCCTGTAAGAGTGTTGGGTCCTCCGCGACTTTTGACTCGGTTTTTGGAGTTAGGATAGTTCCTGCAGATGATGAACCTGATGCAGCCTCTTTAGCTGCCACATTCTCTGTGGCTAAGGCTAATGAAGCTAGTGGCACTTTGGCATGTTTGAGTCTTGGCTTGCTGGAAGCGAGCGGCTCGTTGGAATCCAACTGGCCACTCTCCTGCATCTTCGGTGCCTGGGAGGCCACTTCTGTGGCAGCCGTTGCCATTGGCATAGATGGTACAACGGGTATCACAGGTGCCAACTCTTGGCGCTTCATTTGCTTCAACTCGTCCAGCTGATCTTGTATGTGCTGTTGTTGGAGCTGGAGCTGCCGTGACAACGCCAAGAGAGGGCCCGACACTGCTTGCACGTCTAGATTTTCAGCTTGTTTGCGCGGCAGTTCTGTTGACTGCTCCACCAAAGGCTTTGTACCCGGCTCTCTTGAGCTGCTACCAGTAGCATCTGCTGAGCCCTCCACCATACCTATAAGTTCTAAAGCTTTTCTCGAAAGCATCTTCCCTGTTGACTCGCTCCTGTTAAGAACAGTGCGGCCCAGGCCACCTCAATTCAACGATCTAGATCGCTGTCATTCGCTCCCTTCTCTCACTCCCTCCTGTCCCACCCTCTTCAAGCAGCCAAAGGTTGACCCTCAAATCCCGTGAATCTCTAAAGCACAAAACACACTCAGATGAAAGTCAGCCTAGATGCAAAGCCCGGCAGCCTCCACTAGAGATGCTCGTGTTTGTGCCAGGGCTGTGCCTAAGACCTGCCACACAAGACAAGCAAAACTTATCCAGTCATGCCAAACTGTACACTCAACAAAACCATCAATCGATGGGTATGGCCATGTGCTACTCCCTACCTTTCGACCGCTGCGCAAAGCAATTGACTTTGCATGTCGCGCAGCAAGCTGCTCGCTGGCACTTTTTTGCTCGGCCTGGCAAAATGTTGGGATTGGTATTGCAATGTAGTATGACTCGGATAAACTGCAACCGGCGAACTGCGAACAATTGCAAACACTCTTGAATGCCTTGGCACTGTTTTAATCAGAATGCATTTGTGCTGCCTGGGCAAGTGTGTGTGTGTGAGTGAGAATCTCTCGTCAGAAATGCTAGTATCTGATGTGCGAGTATCTGGAAGCAGTCCTTAGCCTCCACCCATGCAGTATGGTCTCAGTGTAGAGTCTCATCCCGACTTGCATGAATGGTGAGAAATCAAAAGCAGGACCCCCAGAACTACAAAACCTGACCATCACATTGGCAAGCTAATGCACGCTAATGCACTATACTGATTAAAGAAAACCGGCCGCCCAACGCCACTACTTGAACGGCCTTGAGTGTCTCCAATTGAACTGTCAAGGATGCGCGGCTCGTATCACCCAATGAGAGACCCTTCCTGATGGACACAGAAAAAGTGCCAAGCAAGGAACTACTTGGATCTATTTGGCTATGTCACCGAGCAGGCTGTCAACATTTGTCAAGTCCCATCGGTTTTCATGATGTGAATGATGATGCTCTATGAGCGAATGCACTCAGCTGTGGCCAGTGTCTCTGCATACAAGTGTCATCCTGTCGCTGGCTTCTCGCAACAGCTTTTGCAATGCATGCATCCCTCGCGTCTCTCCAAAAAAAAGAGTCTGTGAGCGAGCCAAGTCGGTCCTAGGTAGCGAAGCAAAGTACGTACCGAAGGACAAGCAAACAAGTTGACATGGCCCCTAAGCATTATCTACAGTAATCAATTTCTCAAGCCTGGAGAACAAGAAAATACCAAGTGAATCTGATGTCTCCCCAACACAAAAGCAACACTGCGAGACCACAATTGCTTTGCTTAGCGCAGGTTTTAGGGCGATTGGCTTCAGTCAAAGTAGCCATATCGTAGGAATATCACATGAAACAGGAGGTGGAAAATGGTTCGATGGATCTTGAGGTTAGTCAAGAATCTCGACCGCTCTCAGAGTCTTCACAGTGAGATCGGCCATTTTCAGCTCTGGTGGGTTTGGCTTCAGCTGCCTGGCAATCTCCAATAACTTTCCAGGCACCTGGCAGCTTGGAAAGGTCTTACAGTCTTACAGGAAGCTGACTTGTGCACATGGATTACAAAACCGTCGAGACCTCAAATTCACCTGGAATTTCGATCTCTGAATCCTCTTGAAGTTGCAACAGTTCTTGTCGCAGTTTCTCCTGGCGTGGTTGCTACATGCACACACTCCTCCCCCATAGCACCTTTGATTCCTTTGTACATGACCTCAATATGACTTCAAGTCCTGGTTGCTCAGTTCCTTCTTGCACCAGTCATCGAAATCTTGCCTGCGCTGCACTAGATCATTTTCCTGCAGGGCTGTCTGCGCACTCACGTTTAAACAAAATGACAGTATGCGTCAAATATTTCAAGCGGTCGACTGAGAGGTTTATCACTTTCATCTCTGGTCAGCGCCTCTTCATCGAGAAGCTCAAATGCTGTTCGTGTGGCCTTGCTCACTGCAAGCACCTGTCAACACCACTTCCAAAGCATCTAGTTCCGTACAGCAAACTCACAAGAGCTCATTAAAGTCCTGAGGTGCGAACAACACAGCTGAGGAAGAGCAAAACACTCCCCATTCTCTATCCTGCGCGAAGAATTGCTCTGTCACAAAAGGATCAGAAGGACCAAGAAGAAAGAATGATACCAGAATAAAGTGTCCTCAGCAGCTACAATGGAACATATCCCATGGGCGGACGACCCTGGGAAAGCCGAAACGGCCTTGCTGCAAGTCACAATTCAGTTTCCTGGGCACCAAACCTGTGACGGCCACACAGGTTGCATATTATATGATTTACCGTATATAGATAGAGTTAGACGATGATGGACAGCACGGACCCATTTTGTGGCTAGAACTATGACCCTACTCCTTTGGGACATAAGTAAACAAAAAGTTTGAACTTCACAAGCACGCCTCCACCCTAACAGCATACCCAAAACTGAGAAAGTTCATTAAGGGGGTGTGCAAAACCCTGATGTTAGCTTGGATCTGCAAAGTTTGTTTCATGACTATATAACTTGCTTGTCCATTGTCCACATAAGATCACATAAGTTGTGGTGGAGAATAACAAAACTGGAGCTTGGGATACCAGAAGTACGGTATTGTCTCTTCATCTCGCTTGTTGCATGGTCTAGTCTAGTTTATTCAGCCGCAACGTTGGCACTCTCTATCTATCTTCGGAATATGCATTTATCATGGCTCGTAGTTCGCGTTTATGAATGATGGTTCGTTATTAGCGACCAAATCAGCAATTGCCATACAAAACTGGGGGCATAACGCAATCGCCGACAAACTTTATCTGCCTGAGCTTACAATTGCATGCCTCTGAGGCTGTCCTCCTAGTCAAACCCAAGTTAAACAACACAACTGTCTTACAATGCAAATGTCAAGTTTGGCAAGGGCCTCTGGACAGCCTGTCTGGTGCCCATCGATGTCCTTCAGAAACCACGTGTTCCGCAATCGAGCCCCTTCGAAGTTTCAAGGAGGAGGGTTACAAGAAGGAAACCTTTCCGTAACCTAAAATTAAGACTTCCACCGAAATTACGCAACAAGTAGCACAGTAACAAACAAAACAACAAAACATGTCTAAGTCTAAATCAAACAAATGTGGCAATCCACCACTTCATGCCGTTTGAATTAGAATTGCTGAATTTCAGCCGCTGCTTTGGAACCATGTCTCGGATGCCTTGGATTTGTCAAGCAACTTGGCAATTCTCTGCAAAGGCTCGGTCAGTGAAACCCTAGCTGTGTTCACACCTCTTTGGGAGCTGAATGGCTAAATTCAACGGGCTGTTTCACTCGTCGTTCAAGTGGTTCTGATGTGGGGCGTCTGATAGGAATGGCTGGTTGAGCACATCCTCTCACATTCAAGCAAACCTGTCCTCAACTTATGCCTAATCATGCAAGTCTTCTGTAGTTTTGCAGTGGCAGTCCTCTAAAAGGTGCCGGTCAAAGCCCTTTGGTTGGGACTGATCACCCCAACGACCCCGCTTTTCCAAGAGGTGCTGCTTGCAAAGCTTGATGGTTTGCGATGAATACCTCCGAAACAGGCTTCAATTCAATTCGGCAAGTTATTATATAGTAATATATTCGTTACGTTGCACCTGTGACTTTCTAACATACTATATAAGCATACTAGTACAGTAGTATGTCAACTATATGTCAGCTCATGCACATCAGGTTCCTTTTGAGTGGCCACGGTGCTTCAGCTCCTCCTTGCCGGCTCCACTCCAAGAAGGTTGTCGTGCAAACTTCAAGACCTGATGGACACAAGGCCGGTTCACACCCAAAGACCCAAAGGAAAACAGACTCTAAGGAAGCTACTAGCAATGGCCTCCAACCTATTAGCGATGGCCTCCCTAAGGGGAATCATTGAGCCGAAAAAACGAGAACACAACGCTGCGCAACGTGCCATGGCCCACCTTGAACATCAATTCTGCTGAAGGTTGCCACAGCCCTTGCACACTCCGCCGCTCGGTCCAAACACGCGGCCCTCCATGGCGCAAATACAAGTTTGGAGACTCCGAATTTCTTTGGAGATTCATCAAGTCCTGGCAAGCGCAGCCAGTGGCATCCTTTACTCAAGGCTTTCTAATATTATAGCTCCAAAAACCATGTAAAATACAAGTTTCTTCGGTTGAGTCTCGCAAGGAGGAACTTGATCAATGATGAGTACAACATGTACAAGTACCACACCTGATGCAGCACAACCGTTTGGACTTCAAAATGCGATAATAATATAGTTGCCCTTACATGAATGAAGCCTAAGAAGGGTGGGGAGTGGGAACAAAGAAGCCCAAAACCAAGAATAGAATCTGCATGAACTGTGGTAAGTTCTTCAGGTTCAGCTTCGTGCTTGGCTCGGTGCCCGGATGTATATACTCGTGCTATGTTTCGTGCCACCATGTTCTGTTCCTTTGTTGGGAACCAACTAGGGCAGAGGCGTAAGGTGGTCTTGGCATCTATTTTTCCAAGCCTGTCCCTTCTTTTTTCGTGCTAAATAATGCCTCAGGTTTTCCTCCTCCTCTCCCATTTGTTTGGGTGCGTAGCTTTCTGAATAATGCATCTGCTGAAGTCGTGCGTGGTTACAGCCAACAAGCTTGATAGCCGATAGCCCCTCAAATGCATCCCAGTAGCATCGCAAGAAGGGGTTGACATACCTCTCCCCTGTTGGACAGGCTCTGACGCTCTCCACCTCTCCTCGATCTGGCGAGGTCGCATCTTTCTGAGGGAAATCTCGAAGCGCTCGCCACTGGTCCATTCGGCCTTGCTGAACTCTGAATGATGACACATAAAACCCTAGGCCCTTATAGGCCCTTGTTGGTTTGGCCTTGGTGCCTCTGACTCTAATTGCTGAGTCAGAATGCTTCAAACCCTGAACATCAAGTCAATTTCAATGATGACCTGTTACAGTGAGAGAAAAACGTAGCAATCCTGATTCAATTCTAGACCCGTGCACTTGGAAATCTCTCAACTGGCGTTCCAACATCGACCAACCATGACCAACCGAGCAGCGGAACCGCGCATGAGGTCATGAGTAATAATATTACATCATTGCAAATCATGTGTGACCATCAGCATCTTCAATGTGCAAGACTACCTTTGTTGAACCAGTGTAGCAGCAAAAGCTTGCAGGGAGGACATCCAACGATGCTAGACTTGGGGCTGAGTTCAACCATGGTCCTTACTGGTAAACTGGTATCGTAATTACTTCCCTCACGTTGTGGATGTTTCAAAGGCTTTGGCAAAAAATGACGCTATCATACGCTATCCGATATCCTGACAAGGGTGCCAATGGTTCGCGCTGCTTCCAGCCAGCCTGCAACTCCGGGTGATCAAGCTGCGAGTGCTCAGTAACCACCAAGACCTGCGGGTTTCTCTCCTGCAGCCAGTAGGTTTCCAATGGGATCCATCATGTTCTATCCTTGGGTTGTCACATGTTGTCACCTCTCACCTAGCTCACAACCGCTTTAGCATGCTTCAACCGCAATAAGGCAAATGCTTCTAGGGTCCTTCCACACAGGCAGCAAATGCCGCAAATAGAAGCGAGTTCCGAGGCTACTACCACCGGTTTCGGAATAGCCTCAATCCGCAGTATAGAAAACAAACAAGAACACTGAAAACAAGTATTAACACATCTGGGTTTCATGTCAAATGTGTTGCCGAAACAGATTTCACACATTGCAGCTCCGAGCCACGGATTATGATCCGGCGTAACTGCCAGGTGCCCGTGGCAGCGTTCATTGCGGAAGGCTCGGTTTGTAAAGAGAGCTGCCTTGATGTTCTTTTTGTTGAGCTACCAGTACCATGGACAGCTGCAAGTCTGAACCCAGTTGAACCAGTTGAAACATTTTATCTTACAAGCCGTTTTGGTTGAAGCTGCGTGTCATGAAACATGCTCTCAAGACGTCTGGGGTGTTCGCAGTTCAAAGGTGATTCGGTGGAATATGTAGAATGGATACTAATATATAATATAATATACTAATTGTTATTATATGTCTCACATTGTCTCACTATGCCAACTGCTAAGGGCTGCCAAGCTTACGTCGTTTCGGAAGCTAAATTCATTAAAAAAGGGTCTTGAAATGTCTTGAACTGGCAACCGGCAGCAACATGTGTCTCACGCTGCCTTGGCTAGACTGACAAGACTGACAATGTAGTAGGTCTCGGTGGTCTCGGTCTGCAAGAATCTGGAAAGGCTGCCACCAGCACAGCAGTTTGGACCGCAAGCGGCAAACTCATCCTATGAACAGTCGCTGCAACTGCAGCCCATGGCATAGCCCTCTGTTGTCGTGAGGTTCCCCCACGAAGCAACAGCTCTATGCAAGGCATTAACGGTTAACGCGATCGTATGTGATCGTATTCCAGGTCTGGCAAGCTCGGCGCTTGCAAAGTCACGTCCCGTGATGACTCAAACAGCGTTGGGTATGTGCCGATGACTAAAGTGAAATCCTATCAGAATTGAACTCAGTGAGTTTTGTTCTGTCAAAACCTTCACAGAAAGAACAAGTCAAGGTCACATCTCCCACTCAGGCTGGTTTTGCAGGGCTTGCATCACCTGTGTTGCAAATTCCTCGGTCGCATTGTTATGAACATCAACGTACATGTTGCATCGTGTTGCGTACTCCAAGCTGTGGCGCATTACCGACGTCATGCAACACATTGTAACTTCTAACCAAATATTTGGTAATGTCTGCAGAATGTGGCATGCCACAATTTCCTTCGGGGTTTTGCATCAATCTGAACAACTCGGGCAAAGTCCACGTGCTCTGCAGTTGGCTGTTTGTCTGGATGCCACTTCCTCAGCATGGGGTCAGGATTGTTGTCAACATCTTACAGCTCTAGATTCTAGATATTTCAGCCCGTTCTACAAATAACAGTATTACAACACTTAAATTGAGACCTGCAAATCACATCAAATGTGACAAGCAACATCATCAACTTCTTCCTTGGATGAGAGGCTTGTCCATGATGGGGAGACATTCGAACAACAAACATGACAGAAACCAAAAAACTTCGAGGACACGCACTGAATCAATGCACACAGTTCGTACGGTGATTTGTGTTTATAGTGTATTTAGTGAAATTTAGTGTTTTTGTTAATAGTATATGGTATGTGTGTTTTGTGTTTTATATTTGTGATTTGTGTTTAAGGCTTCCATAATAAGTCAAAGGCCCGTTCACTTTTTTCAGTGTTGCTATGATTTTAGTATGGTTGAAGGTTATGGACAAATATGGTGCAAAAATGTAGTTATGCATTTTGTTAAGAACTTGATGCAATTTTTATCGTTTTGGGGGCGGCCTAAAACCACAAGAACACCATAAGAAAAGTGTAACTTGCGGTTTTGATATGAATTTAGCATGACTTTCCTTTTTCGAGGGATGCTGGCAGGTTCCAAAGTACCCAAAGCCTCCTGGAAAGGCTACCCAACGGCAAAAGTGGTTCCCTCATGGGGGAAAAAGGGGCATGGTGGCTGGACTGTGCAAGCCATTACAAAAACACTCTCAAGACTCAACATGATATCAGAACCATAACCAAAAAAACGTCGAAAACCACCATCTTGAGAGACCATAACCATAATAACACGACCACAGCGGCAAATCATATCCAAACCATAACACAAAATGTATATATATATATATACACATTATGTTTTACATGCATGCTGCATGCTTCTGTCACTCATTTGGAAGTCATAAGTCACAACTCTATGTGCAAGCAGGCATGGTCTGAGAACGCCCATATGAAACCAAATGAACTGGCAAACCAACGCATACGCTGGGTGTTGTCGGCCGGTGTATGGGGCTGTGGGCGTGGGCCTGTCTACATTCCATCTTTGTCCCATGCAAAGAAGTATCTTCACTGCAGGTCTTATTTCTCCACGACAGCACCTTAGAAGGCAGTTTGAAGCGGTCACACTGCCCTACAGGCCGTTTGATCCTGAACCCTGTCCGTTGCTGGATTTGTTTAGGAAAGTCAAGGGGCCGCAGCGGGCTGCATTCCATCCTTGGTGGCAGCTTTGCGGTAGCAACAATGAGAATGCAACAAACCAAACAAATGTTTTCCACCTCGTCAAAGCAGCCCAGGCGCTCAGCAATCTGTCTGGCCAGTGCCGATGCTCCACATGTCGCAGCGACTGCCTTGGAATTTGAGCCCGCTTGACGAAATGAGTTGCTATCAGACTCTCACAGTGGTGGTCTAGTCTAGCCTCCGCTTTTTGGAGCTCCTTCTTCAATGCAACATTCCTCAGCAAGCGCGTGAACAAGTCCAATCCAAGTCGAATTTTCCTCCCAACACCACTTCCACAGGACAATGCAAACATGGTGGCCAAAAAGAATGCTCGCTCAGGACCTAGCTCTCTAGCAGTACGATCAGCTAGCCATGCAGACTGTCGCAGGAATGATGCCTGGACCAAAAGGTGAGCACTTGCCGCTCGACCCTTGCCGCTCTACCGCTGTCTGCTCTTGCTTGGCTTGTGCATCAGCAGAACTTTAAAAATAAACCCATCATAGCTCAAGACCTCCCGCTCAGCATCCTCCCGCTTCCGGATTTGTGCAAAAAGCTCCCTTTCTTTGTCATCCTGAGATGATTGGAATTCTTGAGCTGTAATTGCTTTCGACCAGGAACTTTCCAGCGCATGCTGAAGCTTGAGAAACAAAGGTGTCCTTCAATCTGCGCCACTGGTCTGCACGCTGCTGAGCCGCCTGGCTGAGTAGACATGAAAAAAATACATACATATAATACAATACATCATACATAACAACCGACAACGGCATTTGCAAATTGATGTAAATTGCAGCGTGCAGCAGAATCCGAAGTACCACCTTCAGATCATTCCTTGCCCCTCGAAGCTCCTGCAACGGAACAGAATCTCTGCAAGAGCAAAAAACGACGACAAACTCACCAACATTATACACATACAAAACGAACTTGAGTAGACCACCCTCAAAGTCGAGTTCCCAAGTCAAACACGTGAACACATTGAGCTTATGCTGAATATGTGAGTGTCTGCCAGAAGGTCCAGAAAAGAAAAGGATATGTTTCAGCAAGGTTATCGCTTTTCAGCATGGCGTTCCAAAAACTACGACGGCATGATTCTCGCTTTTGAGGGCGGTCTATCGTCACGTTTTGGCGGTTGCCAGCTCATTTACGAACCAGCACAGCGGTGTTCATGTTGAACAACAAACAACAACAATGCGATACAATGCGGATCAATTCGGTGTCATGTTGCCGCACTCGGTTCTCTCTCTCTCTCCCCCTTCTCGCTGGAGCACTGACCTCCTCCAAAGCCTGCATCACTACCTCAAGCTGTGCCCGACGCTGCACCTCTTCGGTGACTTCCTCGGCAAGAGGCTTGGGGAAGTGCTGTGAGAAAAAAGGAAACAACGAATCATACACACACATTGGTATTGGTTCCACTCATATAATTAACAATATATGAGCAGGCACAAACAAAATATATATATATATATACGACAACGTCCAAGGTGTTCAAGCTCTCCCACCCTCCCTCCAAGAGCAGAGAGCTCACGTAGAGAGGATCGCTGTTTGAGCCAAATAAACATAACAAGAAACTTCTCACTGTGCTCTGCGCGATTGGTGTGTGTTGTTTGCCTCTCACGACTCCAGACAGGGAAACATGACTTCTGTCACCGATTGCGGCACATGAGGGTTGGGTTTTCACCTGAGTGGGGAGTACCCTACCCCGAGCAAGTGCTAAGGCACTCCCCGGCCTAATTGCTTCTTACCAAATTTGGCGGGCAAACAAAAAAGACCTGGGGCAGGGTGTACAACCCATGCCTATGCAGAGGCTGGGTCAGACCTTTGGTTGTTGACCTGGTATCTATCACACCAGGTTTTGTCATCAACCTTCCATGCAGTCATTTTGACTTGCCACCTTC